AAAACTAGGCTGAGGAGGTTGAACTTTATGTGGTAGGCAGTGGGAAGCTTTCCACTTTTAAGTAGGAAAGTGACTTTATAAAAGTGATATATTTAGGAAAACATAAAATGTGGGGAGAATCGGAGGGAGGAAAGTCCTGACATCAAGCAAATCAGCTGGACGTTGTCACGGTTTAGTAGGTGTTTGTTGATGAGAATATGGTTAGGGCACAGACAGCAGGAATGGAAGAGAAAAGTGAAACCAGGAGATACTTTCAAAGGAAGAAACAGGCCAAGTTAAGTTAGGGATGAAACCAAGGTTCAGAGTCATTTATGATTCTAAAATTTCTAGCCTTGGAAAGGAGGGCTTTCTGGTCCTGGGGAGAAAGTAAAATTGTTTAGGAACATGAGCTATCACATCTGTTTCTCTGGATGTCCCAGTGGACAGGGTGTGTCTTATGTTTAGAAATCTGAGGTTAATGTAGGAATTAGAGTTGGGATTTAGTGTTTTCACTACACGCACACGCACACGCACACATACATACACACACACACAAACCCCACAGAAAATCTTTCTGCAACCATTAAAGGGTACTAACAATTTATATATCTAAGGCTCAGAGAATATTTTAAATGTTTATTGTTGATGGGCTTAAAGTTTTTGTATTTATGTTCACCTACAAGTACATAGGCCACTTCATATGATTATAGGTCTGTATTTTTTCCTTAACATGCAAGACCCTAGAAAAGAAAATACATTATTTTCTGTCAGTTTTGTTTTTAACATCCAAGAGTGGTTTTTATGTGCAGAAAGAACTGTTCACAGTTATATGGAATATAAATTAATATTCAGTTTGTTAGTTTCAAATTTAAAAAAACATTTTTCTAATTCTTTAAATTTGTTTTCTAAATTCTGTTAAAATACTTATATAGCTAGGAAAATATGAACAGTCTCCTTTCTTTGCTCTCATTATTTTTGGATTAATTCAAGTTGAACTTTCCTAAAACAATTCTACCTACAAACATAATCAAATTCTCTTAAATGTTTCAAACTACATTTTACATTTTATTTTTAAATATTTATAGGGCAAATTAATGACCTTAAGAAACAAAATCATTTAAAACTTAAAATCACAAGTCTAAATAAATTATGCTCTTTAATTCTAGAATTCTAGAATTAGTATTTTAAAATCTCTAATAGCCAGGTTACCTTACGCATTACAAATACTGTAAACAATATATGGATTGTCTGTTGTTTTTGGAACTTACTAAATTTGACATTCACCGGTTTATACTCTGGATTTGATTTACTTTGTAATACCTATATTTAACAATTTTTCTAGGATTGAAAAGACACTTATATCCTAAAAGAAGTGAATTTAACAAGCTGCAGCTATTGGATCAACAATTCAAGACATTAATATGGTTGCTTATTTGAGGGATTAGTACTTTCAGGTGATTTTTCCTGGGTCAAAGATGGACATAATTAGTTAAAGGTTATGTGTCAGTAGAGGTCCGAAGGCCTCTCTCTTACCTTATTTTCTCTTGATTTGGGCAGGACTGCATTCTTAATAACCCTTGCAGCCACTTTGCTAACACCTTTACTGCCTATTTGAACTTTACCATCTCTCTGATGACATTTCAATGTCTTATTACTTCTGGTCAGAGTTCTTTTAAAAAATATTTTTTAATTAATTTCAGAGAGGAAGGGAGAAACATTAATGATGAGAGAAAATCATTGATCGGCTGCCTCCTGCATGCCCCCTAATGGGGATGTGCCCTGCAACCAGGGCATGTGCCTTGATGGAGAATTCAACCATAACCTCCTGGTTTATAGGTCAATGCTTAACCACTGAGCCACACCAGCCAGACTAGAGTTCTTAAAGACATTTTAATGTTTTCACATTGTATTATGTAAAATGTTTTTAAAAACACTTTAATGTCCTCTAATTGTATTCTAAGTTTCCTGCTTTTGGCTTCAGTTTCTCTGAATTTTATATCATGCCATACATTTTTTGGTTTGGTATTTCATGAAGATGTACATGCTTAATCAATACATTTACTCTACAAATGTTTATTTAGTTCTTCCTGTGTTCATGCACTGTTCTAAACAGGGATACAGCAGTGAACAAATCAGATGAATCCCTGCCCTCATGAAATGTTTATTCTGGTCTTGGAGACTGGTAATAAATAGATAAACAAAGAGGTATAAAAGGAGGTGATAAGTCTGTAGAAGAAAAACTAAGCAGGGTAAAAGACTAGAGAATGATAGGAGCTGGGTTTTTTTTTTAATTAGACCTCTCTAAGGAAGTGTTATTTGAAGAGAAACATAAATGACTTGAGGGCATGGACCAAGCAAATAACTAGGAGAAGAGCATTTCAGGTAGAGGAATCATCTATATAGTAAAAGCCTAAGCGACCTTTACAGTGCAACGACCAGAATGACTGGCTGCTATGATGCACACTGATCACCAGGCGGCTGGCGCTCAATGCAGGAGCTGCTCCCTGGTGGTCAGTGCACTCCCACAAGGGAAGCACTGCTCAGCCAGAAGCTGAGCTCATGGCTGGTGAGTGCAGTGGCGGTGGTGGGAGCCTCTGCTGCCTCCGTGGCAGCGCTAAGGAGCAGCGAGCCAAGTGGTAAGGAGCAGTGAGCAGGCGAGTGGTAAGGAGTGAGGGGTCCCGGACTGCGAGAGGGCCCAGGCTGGGCTGAGGGGACACCCTCCCCCACCCCCAGTGCACAAATTTCGTGCACCAGGCCTCTAGTTAAGTTTAATGGCTCTGAGGCTCAAGCTGGCCCAACTGATTGGACCAATAGCAAAGGAGCTACCATAGTGTAAGTACTATAGTACAGGAGAGAGAGGTAGGAGTTCAGAGAGGTAGCCAAGGGCCAGATTGTGCAGTGTCTTAGAGATCACTGCAAGGACTTTGGCTTTGTCTCAAAGAATTAAGAAACTTTGAGCAGAGGAGTGATACATGATAAAAGAATTACTTGACTCTGCCTGCAGTGTAGAGATTAGACTGTAGATGGCACGCAAGTGAAAAATGATAGAGACTTGGACAAGGATAGTAGTACTAGAGGTGGTGAGCAGCACATTCAGAAAATAATCTCAAGGTAGAACCAACAGGATCTGCAGAGAAGTCAAAGTTTTTGTCCTACCTACTTGGGAGAATGAAAGGGTCTTGTACCAAGATAGGGGCAAGTTAGGGACTGGGGAAACTTAAGTGTTGGACATGGTTAAGTTTGAGGTGCCTGCTTGACAGCCAAATACTGGTAGCGATATTGAGTATACAGTTGTATGAGTCTGGAGTTTGGTGGAAATTTGGGACTAAGTTAAACATTTGGTATATGATCTATTTCTTTAGAAGAAACTCTAAAACCATAATTAACAGAGCATTACTTTCATTGCAGACAAAACCATATGGCATGGTTGAAAGGAAGCCCAGAATATTCCCAGTAAGTCTTAAAACATCTGATTTTTCTTTTTTTTTTCACTATTTTTCTTTCTCCTTTCCCTTGCTAAGTGATTGACTAAAATGTTCCTTTTTTTTCACTCTCACTTCAAGTGCCTACTTTGTATATTCTTGTACAAAAATAAAGAAAAAGAGGAGGAAATAGTGTAATAGTGTAAGGTAGTAGTTACAGTTGAAAATGGGAGGTGGCCACCTTTCTATACAGTTACCAAGTTCTCTCCTTTCTTTCTTTTTTTTAAAAAATAATTCTTTATTGTTGAAAGTATTATAGTTACCAAGTTCTCTCCTTTCTTTCTTTTTTTCTTTTTTTAAAAAAATAATTCTTTATTGTTGAAAGTATTACATATGTCCCCTTTTTCCCCCCATTGACCCCCTCCAGCCAGTGACAAATACACTTTCATCAGGAGGAAAAATAAATTAATCATAAGGATAAGGTTAATTACATAAACCACTTCATTTTCAAGATACAGAACTAACTCTTCTGAGGGAGGGAGGAAGGAAGGAAAAAAAGAAGGAAGGAAGGGAAAGGAGAGAGAGAGAGAAGAAAAGAACCAAATCAAAGAGACTACTGTTTATAAGAAAAAATTTGAGTTAAAATGGAAATCAATGAGGAAGGGGACAGAGCACAATGATATCAATCAACTTTCTTACCATACAGCCAGATCTCAGAAAGAATCTGACCAAGTCCCACCCACTTCATACATAGCCAAAGAGTGCAATGAAGGAGAAAACCACAAGACCAGAACTTCAACAAAATGCCTGGCTCTGGTGCCCTGCGGTCAGTCGGCACACTGTCTTAGGTATATGGCACAGATACGCCACGCGCTGCATGAAGCACGACCCTTGGACATCACAACATTCTCACGGGGTGATTTTGTTATCCTCGTCTTACAGGGAAGAAAGTAGCCCAGAGAAAGGCACAAGGTCAAGTCAGCCCAGAGTGCTCAGGGGCCCAGGAAGAGTTATCAATGGAAGCAATAAAATATACGGAGAAAACTCAGCAGTGACGCTATTCTGGGATCCAAGGAGTTAGACAAGAAACCAGTCAGGGCAGGTACAGCAAGCAGCCTCTTGGTTCAGACTAGATCTTGACACCGCCCCCCCCCTCCCCCCCAGCTGGGGCAGCTCAGTCAATCCCGCTGGGGCAGCAGACATTGTGGTTATCTTTCTGTATTGACGAGGTATTGCCACCTGGAACAGTGGTTCAGACACAGGCTAACCCTGCCTGTCTACACTGCTATGACAGAGCCAAAGAATCCATGCAACAGTGTTAAAGCTGCTACTTGAAAATCCTAATGTGAAGCAGGCAAGGACTTCGCTACCTCACATGTTACACTCAGCTGAAAATATTTTGGATTCATCCTATCTACTCAGTTGGTCTTTATTAGGGGGATTTTTACCCTGTAGGGTACGTAAGGCAGTATCTCAAGACATTTTTGAGGTTACAGCTGGGGGGTACTTCTGGTATTGGGTGGGTAGAAATGGGGGCATTGCTAAACATTCTACACCAAAAGGAATGACCGGGCCCCAAATGTCAACAGCATGCTGTTGAGAAATCCTATCTAAGCTAGAAGCCGGAGAGCAGAGGGTATGAAACTCATTCTTTTGACCTATCTCCGATACATAAAAGGCCACACTCATTCTGCGGGATCAGCTGGTCTTCCACCTGATTTCATTCTCTGAAATGCCAGAGGTAAACAGCTCAGGCTGAGCACTGCCTGCAGAGACCTGCGCAGGGACTCCCCTTCCCCAGGCCCCTCCTACCCGGGGCCAGTGCTTCTGGCCTTTGCAAAAGGGGAGAACAGATATTCTTCGTTGAACCCTGAGGACCTGAGAGAGCATCTAACAAGCCTTCCCAGGAAGTGCCTAAAAACAGAGTTAAACATGCAGCATGTGGTATAGGGCATGGATTCTCTGCCAGAGGTTTTCAACCCACAAGGGGGTGTTCACTGTGACATCTGCTCCTGACCGATCTGCCCGATGAACTCGATCTTGATGCCCTGGTGCTCCAGCCGCTTGTTGGGGTGCTTGAGCGCGAGGCTCACCTTCCCGGAGACCGTCTCGCCGTCGTAGAAGAGGAAATATTTCTCCTTCTTCTCGTCCTCCGTCTTGTGCTCCGCCCGCTTCCTACTCTCCGCATCGTTGAGCACGATCTCCACCTCCACGCTCTGCCCGAAGCCGAAGAAGCTCATCTCGCCGCTGGCCTGGCGCGCCGGGCTCCCCGGGGCTGGGCTGCCCTAA